GAGGTCACAAGCATTACATAAAGCTGCTGCTCTTTCAGAAGCAATAACATCTTCTCCTAGATCAAATACATACACACACTTTCAGAAATGGTTTAAATAACCTTGATCCAAACATTCACAAACTTTATTAGCTGTATCTACAAGACAATGAATTTCTATGTGTTTTATCTCAAATATTTGTTACAGGTAATGTTATGTCTCTTCAACTGGGCCAATCTACAAGAACATATAAATGTCAATAAATAGGATGAAGGGTAGCTGGCTCCACAAGAGGTGACCTTCAGCAGAGAACAGATATCTCTTAACAAATGTTCTCTCCCAGTATACCTCAGGTGGGCAGATTCTAATCAAAGCAACCAGTCTTATAGATATCCAGGTCCTAAGCCATGCAGCACCTTGAAGTGCACCCAGAAAACAAAAATTAATGCAGCTCCCACAATATGTGGGAGTGTCAAAACAGTCCCATTCGCATGCAGACCCCTGCATGCTGCACCAGCTGCCATTTCTGGGTGGTTTTCACAGGCAGTCCCATTTAAAGGAAATCACAGTAATCCAGCCATAAGGAGTAAAAACATGAGTAACTATTACCAGCGTCTCCTACTCCAGGAATGGTCATAACTAGGGTACCAGCCAAAGCTGAGCAAAGGCCCTTCTGGCTACAGTTTGTACCTGTTGATCTAGCAGAAGCTGTGAATCTAGAAAGATCACGAAGTTATGATCCAGCTTATTTTGGAGATCACAATCCTATCCAAAGCTAAAGCTAGGACTGTCCTGGAATCAGCTGGCTTTTAGATCAACAGCCAACTGTTTGGATTAAGCCTGAATCTGCTCCTCCCCTTTCAAACCTGTAACAACTTCCAGACACAAGATCAAGACTTCCACTATATCTCCCATTCAGACTGGGGTAGCGTTGTATAACCAAGTGCCATCAGCATACTGATGATACCTTATCCCTGAGATACTAAATAAGATGAGGAAGAGGGACAACCCCTGGGGCAATCCAGACCGGCATGCCCAAAGGCTTGATATCTCCTCCCACTCATACTCTGACTGCAGCCACCTTCTTAGAAAGGATCAGAATCACTGCAAAACAGGGCCTCCAATCCCCAAACTTAGCTGTAATTGTTTTTCATTATACAGTAGCTGAAATAATTAACTGATCCATTCATAACAAAGGGTCAATAACCTGATGGCTTTCATGCTGTAGCAAATAATTGTGCCCAGACTGATCCAAATATCTGATGTTAACAACTGCTGTAAAACAACAATTGAGAGCAACAGGCTTGATGGACAGTTCTTTCAAGTTAATTTATATGAATTATGAATCTTCAGAAGAAGAGAAAATCTTTCTTCCATGAATTTCCATAATGCAAACTATCATTATCTGAACCAAAGCCTCTATTAAAAGATTTCCTAGATGTATCCTGTATCTATATCTTTGTTTTAATTATCTTTCCTAACAAATATAATCGTACTGCAAAATTGTCAGTTACAAATTGTAGTTCTGTTGTAAAAAAAAAAGTTGTTTATTTTAATGAATCCAATGCGTCTCTTCCCTTAATAGAACTGCTTCAATTGTCAAAAATGAGATGGGGCAAACTTTTATAAACCTGTTCCCAAGGATACCCAAGTCATCCAGGACAGTTCTTCTGGGGGTGTTTGACAACATGCATGTGGAGGGGGAAGCGTCGTCCTGCTTTCATTGATAGAAATTTCATCAGTGGAAGCTGAATGCTGTATTCCATCCTAAACTATTTCCAACTGTTTTCACTGCTCATATTTCTGCTTTCTAAACAGAACAACATTCCAGATCACTTTAGTTTATGTTTCAGTTTACAACTCTAGTTAAAATGTATTTTACCTGGAGGTAATGGGGTTTTCTTCTGAATTAAAACTACAGCAACTTTTGTGTTTCGTCCCTGCAAACTCTGTCTGAAAACACAAGACATTAAGATAACTAAAGATTATAAAGATTACAAGCAATCAATTCTTTAAGCCACAGGATATGTGGCTTATGTACGGGAAGTAAGATCTAATAAATTAAAAGTTTGTTCTTTCAGATGGGCAATAGCAAATATGCAGCTTTTAAAAATTTCATAGGACTCAAAAATTGGTGTTTTATCTGCCACTTAGATTCTAAAAAGGAATTACAGTCTAAGACTTTTTCCTTGACAAGTACCTTAGACATTGTAAAGCTTTTATTTTAAAGGAGCATTCACACAGATAACTTAACAGCATCTATTCTAAAACCTGAAGAAATAATCATGTGAATTATATCTTTTTTCTGTATTCAGAATTATCATAAAACAGTATTTTATAAAATATCTGAAATAGTACCTGACGATTTCAACTCTAGTAGCACACTCTAACTGTTTTTCTTTCCACTGTGGCTCGTCCCAGTCTAGCTCATAAAATACCACAACAAGTGCAGGGACCAAATTCAGATGCTTGTTCATCCAACCAGTTTTCAGGATACCTTTTGGAATGTACCATTCATATGACAATCTCTGAAAAATTGAAAAATGTTATCACTGCTGTATACAGATTTTTAAAATTATTTTTGGTCCTTTCAAATAAATGTTGACTCCTGTGACTGCCCGAATTAGTCCTTGTATTTTTCTTGGCAAGATTTCAGAAGTGGTTGGCCACTACCTTCTTCCTAGGGCTGAGAGAGAATGACTGTTCCAAAGTCACCTAGCTGGATTCATGCCTAAGGCAGGACAAGAACTCATAATCTCCCAGTTTACACCAAACTAGCTCTCTCTATTTTTCTTCCCTACTTATCATTTCAATCATAACATGCATATGTAAGGCATGAGTTTCACTAAACTTATTCCTGACCAAACATGTCCAAAATTATGTTGCATTATTTCATCAACTTGATTTAGTACAACTGCACACCAACAGTATGTGTTGCTTAGGTAATAATCAGAGAAAAATTTCTAACCTATTTAAGATGTTAGGTATGCTTCACTTTAGCTATAGTTCTACCTTTGCTTTTGAAAGGATTAATTTAGCAATGTTAATTCCAAAATAACCTGGGAAAAGAATTAGTTCTCAAAAACCAATTTTATAAAAGTAAATATAAGTAAATCTCAGAAAAATAAACTTACATCAAAATATGACTTTTAACTCTCCTACAGTAAGATTTAGGGTAGTACCTTTACTCTGCATTTGGGATACTCGTGATCACCTGGAAGTACTTTAAAAGAAATGGGTACTCTGTCTGCTCTCCTATTTGCACAAAAGGCATCCCAGACGGCCCGATGAACAGCATTATATACAACATCCAAACCGGTGAGTGTAACAAAAGCCATTGGCCGGCAACATAGTTCCACTGGAAAATCCCACTGTGAAGGGCTCATCTTGACGGTACCAAATATACTCTGAAACTTTAAGCAGAAAAATATTCAAAATAATTTCCCCAACAAATATTCTAATATGTAGAATATTTAAAATTGTGATTCTCTAAACTAGTGACAGGTGGTCATAAATTCTGTACAGCAGGATATAAAGTTCAAGAGTATGAGACTGAATAATTCTAGATTCTATTAGACATTCCACTGCAATACTGTGTGCCTTAAAATGGTTTTGCCTGTAGCTAAACTGAACCAGACAAAGCTCAGCCTTAGTCCATAGCCTGGTTTATAGCTACTCTTGCTGTTTTCTGGAGGTGCTTCAAACAAATTACTCACCTGTGAACTTTAAAGACATCCAAACAAATGTACTAGGGAGTCCTACTTCTTCACATCAAATACCACTATATTTTTAATCTAGAGTACATAATTGTACACATATTTCTTAAGGACACTTTTTTATAGGAAACCATAAAATAAAATCAATAAACCTTCTAAGGCAGAAAAAGGTAGACTATTTTCAGCTTTATCTCCCTTCAAACCATATTTCTACTCTTTTAGTTTATTTGGTTCCATTTTATTACATTATTTTGCATTCACTCATTGCATAGTAATGGCAGCGATGTAGACTGAAGGATATTTAAAACAGGCTAGAAACACATTGAGGGTGGGTTCACACATCATATGAAGTCAAAATATTCTCTGGGTTTTCTACTGCATGAAGGCCACTACTGTGATTTGCAGATTATAGTTGATGACTTAGTCTATTTCACAACTCCAACAAATTGTGGTTTGTTCAATACCTCAGATGTAAGCAAATCATAGTTTAGGGGATTAAGTAAAGCTTGCTACAATCATGCTCAAAACTAGCCCAATGCACTCAGTATCACTTCCAGCCATCTCTGACTAATTAAAGCGCCATTTATTTCAGTTAAGTATAACTTGGTCCGAACGTATCCCTCTTATATCAGCACCTTCAACTCCCCATTTTACGTTGTACGTGAACGTGGCATCACTACAAAACCAAAATGCTTTCTGAAAAACACTTGCAGAATGTCTTGTGTACAATATTAATGTATTTCCCAGCCGCCGCCCCTCTTGCCTTTGCCTGAGAGGATCTGCCGACCCCGCAAGCTCTGTCGCGACCCCGTTCTCAGTTCCCCAGCCTCGCACCTGCACTACAACGACCCTCCCCGGTGTGGAAGGAGCACCTCGCCGTCAGCGGCGGAGACGACTCCGCTCAGCCTCCGGTGAAAAGATCCATGCAACAACCCAGTCCAAAGGAAAATTTCGAACAGAAGCCCGAGGCCTGCCTGAGGAAACCACCTAGCAGCTGGACTGAGATTGATAGCCATAGCTGACCAATAAGCGCTGCGGCTCCTGAGCGCCCGGCGCCAACTATTGGAACGTGCTCTGAGGTGGGCAGAGCTAAAGTGCCGCGAAGCGACAAATGAAAAGGAAAAGGAACAAAGAGGCGGAACCGACTGAGCTTTGCTCAAATCTGAGGTAAAGAACGTGCAAGCCAGGAGGCGCGGCTAAAAGAATCGGGCCAATAGTCAGCCGGGAGAAGTGGAACGAGCGTGGTCACGCTGCCCAATCACCGCTAAAGAGGCGACTGCCTGACCCCTTTTTCGCCTTGTCATTTTTGGCGCCTGCGCATCGGGACCGTCCTCTGTTGGTCTGGCGTGCTCGATTCCCCCTCGGACAGACGTGCAATTCCCCCAGGAGATTATAGGCGGGAGGAGAGCGAAAGGAGTCCGGGGGAGGGTGTCTTCTTTCCCGGTGTCGCGCCATGACGGCGAACGAGGACCAGGAGGTGAGAGGGACGAATCGAGAGGAGTGGGATAGGCTGTGGCAGGGTCCTGGTAAGGAAGGAGTTAAAGCGCCAACCGGAGGGGCGTGGCTAGGAGAGGACTACCCCTCCCTCGTTCGAACTTCGGGAGCTGCTCCGGGGGGGAAACTTTCTCAGCTGCTGTGTAATAGTAGTAGCAAGCCAGCAGTACGCGGGAAGGAAGCTGCACCTGTTGAGTGTTTGCCTGTGGTGCAAATAAGCGCTAGTGCTTTGACGACGGGGCAGCTGGATCATTTTGACAGGGGTCATCAGCACTACCCATTGCACGAAACCCTGACTGGAGAGAGGAAAGGGACCGACTCCAGTGGGGGATTCTTTTAAGATCCTTTTAATCAACATTATCCTTTTGAAAACTACTAAAACAGGACTGAAGATTATATTCAATCAGATTTATTTTAAATATTTTACTAAGCTTATATGCCATTCCAATCATGCCTGACTCTGTGGCTTATAGAGCTCCCAGAACAGTATAAAATTGAAACTAAACATAAAAGTATAAACTGTATGCATGTGCTCTCTTTCAGATGGAGTTAGAAGCATTACGTTCTATTTATGAAGGTGATGAATGTTTTAGGGAACTTAGTCCCATTTCCTTTCAATATAGGGTGAGTTTTTAGAAACCATATTAATTCAAATCAGCCTATATTAATCTGAAAGTTTTAGGTCCTGTCTTGATAAAGGTAGTCCTCACTTAACAACAGTTAATTGGGACCAGAATTTCCATTGCTAAGCAAGACAGTTATAAAGTGTGATGTCACGACTGCACCGCTTAGCGACAGAAATTCCAGCACTTCTGGTTGCTGTCATTAAGTGAATCATGTGATGTCAGCTGGTCACCACTTGCAACTTCCTGCCAGCTTCCCCATTGGCTTTGCTTGTAGGAAGCCGGCAAAGAAGGTTGCAAATAGCAATCATCTGTCCGCTGGGCACTGGTATGTTGTAACTGCAAGCCAAACACCTGGATTGCGGTTATGTGACCGTGGGGATGCTGTGACCATCCCTAAGTACAAGGACCAGTCATAAATACCAATTGTTCAATATCGTCATAAGTTTGAATGACCACTGAACAAGTGGTCATTAAGCAAGGACCTCCTGTATATGTATTTAAGACAGCTTATAATTTACAACAGCAAGGCATACTTGTTAAACACCAAAGGCTCAAGGCTATATACCAAGATTTACCCTGAGATTTTCAGATTGGGTTTATTCATTTTCTTAACAATATATTTAGACATAAGTAATAATGCTGATTCATAATTTATGAAAAGGGAAGAATAGCCTATAGTAGAAATGTCCTGTTGGTTATTGATATAATAATAATAATTTATTAAATTTATATGCCACCACACTCCCAATGATATGGCTATTTTGTGGATTCTGGTGAAGTAATATTTTATATTTTTAATGCTCATATGTTGCGACGTAACACTACTTGAAAATTATTTTTTAAAATTGACATTGGGCATAAAATGAACCATCTGTATTTCAATATTTTTGTTGATGAAAACTCTGATTTACTGGATTCCTGCATAAACATGACTTATATATATTTTTAGATAGGTGAAAGTGGGGACCCCAAAGCTTTCCTTATAGAAATATCATGGCCAGAAACATACCCGCAAACTGCTCCAGTCATATCAATGGATGCATTCTTCAACAATGCCATGTAAGTGGTCCAGTTCTTAAGACTTTCAAGAGGCTCTCTTTCTAGAATAACTTTTTATCTCTCCTTTGTCATCTGCCCTAGATCCTCAGCCATAAAACAAAGCATATTGGATAAACTAATGGAAGAAGTTGAAGTTAACCTTGGAACCTCAATGACATATACAATATTTGAATATGCCAAAGATAATAAAGAGCTGTTCATGGAAAATCAACCAGTTAATACCGTGGTGAGTTTATGTTTTCAAACATTGACCTACTTCAACACGTGAAAGTGTTTTTCTGTCCATTAAAAAGATGATGTTGAATTGCCACTATAAGAATAAACTCAGATTCCTAGTAATGTATCTTATTTCTATATTAATCCAGTATTCCAGGAGCAGTGATTAAAGTTACTACTTATTATATGATACAAAATTTCTTGCACTGACAACAAGGAAAATGTTTAAGCACAGATGTAATGAGCTTTCATCAATTAAATGCAAGAATCAAGTATAGAATTAATAAACTACAGAGAATTCTTTATTAGTAATACATTTCTTTTCTTTAGACAGCATTGAATAACTGCATCTCAACTGGACATTCTGATGCAGCACAACCAAGTAAGAAAAAGGAGAAAAAGGAACAATTGTCCAAGACGCAAAAGCGGAAGTTAGCTGACAAAACAGGTTTGTGTAACTTATTCCTAATATAGCTAAACTGATATAACTCATAACTTTTCTTTAATAAAAAAAAAAAGGTATGGTGTAGAAAATATGTTTTCTATATAGAATACAACAATACAGGCTTTTTCCTGCATTATGATTTATGCTGTACTTTTGTGCACAATAGGTATTTCTAAGTAATAATAAGTGTTTATGAAAGTTACTTTCAATATACACAGGCTTAATTCATATGTATCAACATGTTGTTTCCTGGCAGAATAGTAATGATTCCTGCCCCCTTGTGGAATCTGTATTGCTGAACCAGAACTATCAGCATGGCCAGTAGTAAAATTCAGGAACATCTGGAAGGCCACAAGTCCAGTTATTCATTACCAGTTTGTGCTAAGCCAGAGTTTGCTAGTTTAAATCTATCCGGAAACTATGAAGTAAATGAATACATTAATTTCAGAATAGATGTTTGAATTTAAATTGGAAAAATACATACATTGTGGAATTTTTATTTTGGCTAGATCACAAAGGAGAACTTCCTCGAGGATGGAATTGGGTTGACGTAATCAAGGTAAGAGCGTTGAAAAATAACAATATTAAAACGGTAACTTTCCAGGAGATTTTAGCAATATCTAATGTTTTTCTTTTTCTTTTTTTTTAACCATTTGGATATGAATGACAATGGGATTTTCCTCGTGTTTTTAAAAAGCATGTAAGTATTTTAATCTTTCTGAACCATTTTGAAATATATTTTTAGTTCTAAGCATTGATACTTGTATGTCTTTTTTGCCTTGATCAGTGTTCCAGAATTTTTGTACATGATCCTTAACACAAAATGTCTGTGTTTAATTAAGCACTGACTAACAATCTGTATCCTTCTGTAGAGGAGTACTACAATTTTTTTCAATTAAATCTGAGGCAAATTTCATACACAATAATACTGAAATCAAAATATTACATGACGTTTATCATTTTTACAAATGGGTTGTTAAAACCAGATAATTGTATTATAAGGGCAGTTGAAGCCAACACAGACAGCTACCATCAGCTACTGGTCCAAATCAGCTAAAAAAATTTGAGAGCAAAACCAAAAATGTTCAGCAAATTCTCCAACTCCCTAAAAAGCATAAAAAGGGGCCCAACATGTTCAGGTATTTTCCCTCAGAAGTCACCTTATATCCTACATATTTCAGAGACTAATTGAAAGAAAGAAAGAAGAGGTGAGTGCAATTATCCATGTTGCCTTTGGAATACATTGAAAAGAGTATCCAGAAGGATATCTAAGAAAAAATCATTTTCCTTTCTTAAAATATATATCAAGTCTAATTAAGATTGCTCCCAGGTGTCTGATGACAACATTTCAAAGGCTATTTTGGAGCCAGGATACTATTTGCATGCACTGGAATTTAAAAAGTTCCATACAGGTAGTCCTCATTCAGCAACCATTCATTCAACTACTGTTTGAAGTTACGATGGTGCCAAATAAGGGGACTTAGGACTGTTCCCTGTAATTGCAGCTGTTGCAGCTTCCCCGTGGTCATGCGATTGCGATTTGAGCACTTGGCAACTGGCTCGCAATTACGACAGTTGCAGCGTCCCAAGGTCACATGATTGCCATTTGCGAATTTAACTGCTGACTTCCAACTAGCAAAGTCAGTGGGGAAGCCAGCAGGAGGTTGCAAATGGTGACCATGTGACCGCGGGACACTGCAACCACACAGGATTCACCTAAAGATGGCAACTGGAACTGCCACAACTTCCTTCATAAATCAGTGCAGTCATGTGATGTTGTGCTTTACGATCCCATCGCTTAGCAATGGAGTTGCCAGTCTTAATTACCATTGTTAAGCGAGGACTACCTGTAACCAATCCAACATACATATTCTAGTTTATCATGTCTCCTAGTCTTTAACTCTTTCAACTGAATCTTTTTTTCTTTTACTTCAACTATGAAGCTCCAGTCTGTAAAGAAAAGTTATACTGTACAATCTTCAATAGTTTATAATAAAATTGTCACAGTGGCTCTTTATTGTCACAGATTGTCTATGGATAGGATCAAGAAAAATGATAAAGCTATTTTTGTCTTTTTACAGCTGAGCAAAACGGGCTCCAAGGATGATGAATAGGAGGACTTTGATATAGGAAAATCTTAGCTGAATGCACATTGTAATAACATTTATCTTTTCACACGTTTTATAAATAACAGTTCCTCACATGTTTAAATGTGTTAAAGTGTACCCATCAAGAGCAACATTTTTCCAGCTTTATGATTTTCTTCCTATCATGTGTTTTCCTTTAGAGGAAATATGTCAAAGGCGGTGTCGTTGTACTTAGACTATGTCATGACACTGAGTGTAATAACATGTAATTTTAATGTATATTATTCACTGTACTAAATCATAAAAATCTTCGATGGTAAATGAAACTAACATAGCTAATTTTAGAACACTTTAAAAATTCCAGACCTCTTAATCTCTACATTTGTATTAGAATCCCATTGTTGACTTCGGTATCATTTCAGCCTTTATTAATTGAAAATGTTTATTGTAGGCTGAAGTTATGAAAAATATATACCGGCTTGAATTACGATTTAAAAAAAAAGATTTTATAGCCCAAATCAAGTGATCACTTAGCATCCCTTATGTGCATGATATATTCAGTATAGTCATATATTCTTCAGTGTGAAATAGAAAACAAAACAAGGCCGTTAGGTACAAAAAAAAATGTAGCAACAGTGATACCCATTTTCATGACAATTTTGCTACTACTACATTGTATCCTATTGATGCTCCAACACTGATGCCTTCTGTCCATGGGCAGTCAGCCCATACCAAAGAATGACTATCCCCATTATTTAATTGAAACCTATACATCCAGTGTTCTATAGATAATACCAGACAGTAAAAAGGAAAGAAGTACTATTCCCTTGGCATAATTGTTAATATATGAAGAAAACAGACAATTACAAAAGTGGACCCTACAGATAAGAAAGAAGGAATGATGTAAGAGTGAACTCATAAGACAGAAATACTGACCAATTCTTATAACTCTAGGGGTGCAGGATTGAATATACTGGTGCAGCTTGTAGCGTCTGTGGTCTTCCGGCTGTTGTTGAACTTCCACTGCCAGCTTCCCTTACCACTGGCCATGCTGTTCTTAGCTGCTGGGAGTTATAGTTAGCAATAACTGAAGGCCTTATGTTCTCACTATGAAATAAGCTCCATTAAAAACAATTGAACATATTTCTGCATAGGATTACACTATATGAAGAATTTCATACAATGCATATGATAAAGAAATTACTGGTATTGCTACTGAAAATGCCATTTCTTGTAGTCCATATTTGTCGTTGCCAAAAAATAACGGGATACTGGCTTCAGGTGCTGCCCACACTTCATTTATTTCCGTTTCAGTTACTTTTTCACTTGGAAAATTAGGAATTGTCATTAGTTTTCCACTAAATTAATAGATAACATGGCATTTAAATAGATCAGAGATCTTGTATTTGAGGCTTCTCTTTATTAGAACAATAGTGATATAGAATAAGATGCCTTAACAGCATTTTTTAAATTGTTGGGGAGAGATTAAATAAATTTCTATTTATCTTCTCTGTTGTGTTTTTATTTAGGCTCTTTCTACAGACATTGGGCACCTGGTAGTTAAAAAACAGAGTTTAAATGGAGTGTTGAACATATACACCAGTCTTTGTTAAAATAAATGGGATTGGATTGCTTAAGTTTGATTTGGCAGAATTATGTATCTAAGCCATGTTAAATATTGATATCAAATAAAATATCACTATTTTTAAAACAACATAAAGGTTATTGGTATACTAATAAATGAACACATCTGAAAAGTGACCCAGTCCATGGCCAAGTAAAAGAAATAAAATTGAAAAGTGTTTGTTTGGCCAAGGAAGAGCAGAGGGAAACGTGTAAGAATTCATCGCAGAGCAGCAAAGAACTATAGCTACAAAGAACCAAGCAATGTAAATTCAAGTTTGTTTAAAAATAAAGGTTTAAAGAGGAAGAGGAAGATCATAAGTGCAGGAGAGCCTGTTCCAGACACGGGGCATCAGAAAATAGTAATAGAAAAATAGAAAAACATAGCAAAAACATGCCCCAGTATGAAGTACAGCAAGTGAGGGAAGACAATGCAAGGATGGCTTGATGCCAAGATAGAGCATAAGCCTGTGTTTCAGACAAGAGGAACAAAGTGGCAGGAAGGTGGGGGTGGGGGGTGATATGTTCAGGGAACTACAAACATACCACTATTTGTAGGAACACTGATGCTGTCCTAACATACCAGGCCTATGAAACATCGGCAAAGAATTTCAGATTTGGAATTATTCCATAAGGAGTTAAGGTATTTCAGGAACAGCTTTTTGTAGAATTTAAGTACCAAATGTTTACAATACACAAGCTGAAGACTGATTTTTAGGGGAAAGCTTATGTATCCAAGGTTCCACAAAACATGGTTTAATTTAGTGGGGCAACTGCATTTTCTACAGTTTCATTGATGACATATTTGGCAATAAAGAACTGCACATGTTTTGGCAGGTTGGTTGTATAAGAAGACAATTTCTGCAAAATTTCATACTAGAAAAACAGTGACATATTTGCATCTCTGATGAATCAGTATGTTTTTCCGGAAGATGGGAACAATGTTCTCACTTCTGAGACTCCACAACTGCCAAGCTACAGAAAATAGTGTGCTTTTATTTGATCAATCCCTGACAGAGAACTTGTTGCTTGTTTCTATGAAAAGAAATCTAGTTACTATGACAATTTATTTGAGTAGACCAGTTATGGGGGAAAAAACAAAATACCCTATCTCTTTCTCTGCTGGGGTTTGACATGAAATGAGGTCTAGATGCACAAGGGAATATTTAAAAGGTAGGCTTTCTGTGCACTCTTTAGATACATACTGTAATCTGCTCTTAAGATGTATGTTATGTTCAGTACAGTTTAAAACCTGTAGTAGAAAAAATGATTTCCTTAAGTAAAGCAATTAAAAGCAGAGGATTAAATGATTCAATTAGTTATTAAAAGATTTCTCTGTGAGCATCATCTCTTTAAGTATCTAGAGTCATTCTGATTCTCTAAATGGATAAGATTATTATTATTCAATCCCATAAATAAATAATTTGTCTAACCATTTTAGTTAAACAGCCACCTAACAAATTTCTGACAGCATAGATTTGTTTGTCTTACTTATTAGTTTTACGCTAATATTTGTAATTAGGTTTTAAAGGGAGATTAGAATGGGGTACAGTACAATAAGGAAGAAAATCCTACTGATATGCTAAACCCAGCATCCTGAGTTCCTGAATAATGTTCACGTACTAGATGTGACTTGTGATTCTACTTTTAGTTTCTTTCATATTTGGGCTTGGGCTAATGTCAACAGATCTTCAAAAAAAGACTGAAACTTGAATTGCAACTCAAGTTACACCACTGAACGTTGCTATGGGTCTGCTGCCTGGGAAACTTACCCATTTCCATAAACCAAGAACAGAAGGGTAAATAGATAGAAGAGGGCATATAATTCGTTGTTTGGAAGGATTCCTAAGACTGAACATTACTGCTGTTTCATGGGTATTTCCTAAATACTTCTCAAGAAGAAATTTGGAAAAAACGAAGCATAGAGATTTGTGATCTGCTGATAAGATATTTAGTTATATGGCATTACAGTAAAGGTAATGTGCTTTCTGATCTGCCTTTGATTGCCAGTTCCTCATTTAAATGATCTCTTTGGAAGGAAATATTTAGATATATGTTTGTATTGTAGGTAATTGATTCTAAGATCAGGAAAAAGCAAAATTATCTGGCAGAGCAAAAGAGGCAATAAAATAGAAGGTGTACATTTGCTCATTCAGCCATGCTGGCAACTTACAGAAAGGGAAATTTGCTTCAGAAGTCTTTACATTCAGTAAGTACATTTTTTTAAGGTGAAAAATTCATTTTAACCTTTTTTCTATTTATGTTAGTTTATGTTTCCATATAATATTTACTCCAGAGAGTTAGGATTAACAGGGAAACAAATGTGATGATTTCAGGTATATGTAATGTGCCTTAGTAGCTCATTGATACTAGTGGAGTGTCTCTAAAGCTTCACACAAAATTACAAGAATTACTATTATTTTTCTGTATACTTTTTCATACAAAGCTATACATAGTTATAAAACACAGAGCTAGAATATAACAGTAGCAAAGGCCAGGAAAAATGGCACTATTAAAGAACAGATTTTAAAAATAAAAGTGCTACTAATTATACTAATTACACAAATGACATTGTACAGATGACACACACATACTTGCCTAGACTTCAGCAGTGAACATTATTTTTTCCACATTCAGATAAACAGATTGTTGCAGTATTGGAGCCCAGTAAGCTTTTATGCTATATTGTTTTTCCTACAGGATGATAAAGAAATTGTTGCTTTACCTCCGATTCATAAGCAACCAATGGAAAATGTGACAAATGTATGTATATTTAAATAATAATGCATGTTTTCCTTCAATATAAGTTGTGCTATATTCAGTGAGGTGTACCCCATAGAAAATAGGCTTAGGGAGCAATGCCTAAATGTAGAACCTGAAAATCAAACAACACGAACTGAAATCTGAAATGGACATCTAGAGTTTTTCTGAACTGGAACAGAACTTGAGCCATTATCTGGCAGCTTTTGCTGAATCTCAGCCAGAAGAGGGGTTGGGTGAGTGAAGATTAGGTTATGACTGGAAGTAAAATCTGATGTCTGGCAATTCAAAAAGAGCAAATTCACCATGCAAGCAGCAGTGAGCAGCCCCTCCCCTCCATAAATCTGGCTGTGATGTCAACAAAGAGCCAATCACCTGCAGGTACAGCCAGACATCTGCACTGCCAAGATCTTAATATGTCAGGGAGGCCTCTATAGTGCAGAGAGGCCCACATATCTGCCCATAATTGGTTCTTTACTAACACTGTAGTGTGATGTACTGATCAAAGCTGCTCCCTGTTGCTCACAAGGTGAGTTCTACACTTCATTTGTATCACCTGAATGAGCTATTGGCTCTGGCAGAACCAGAAAAAGGGCATATAAATCAATATTTAGAAGAATGTATAGATTTTCCACAAGAACAAGTCTGTGAAGTTTGTTTGCATATGTATCTTTCCAGACCAGGGTATCAGAATGTCTTGACCATGGCAAGAGATAGATTACAGAGTGGGACGTCAGTATCTTCAAAGCTTGGGAAGCAGTAATTTCTTGGGTCCCTAATGAAAGTTAGGTGACATATAACAATAACATATAAGAATGATTTTGCCTACAACTCCATCTCAAGGCTGGCTTTAAACTTCAACACATGGTTTAAACATCTGCCTATTTTATTAACTCTCCCCAATGTAATATCTTGTCTGAGGAGGAATTCTGAAGATCTTCAAAGCTTGCATTCTTTATAAACATTATTTTGGTTAGTCCCTGTAAAAAGGGACCAGCACAACTGTTAATTCTTTTTATGTGGCAATTTGGTCTTCCACAAATTCTTGCTGTTTCAGTATTAGTTCAATTAAAAAAAAACTACTGCACTAAAATTCTTATTTGCCTCAATATATGCATCTTGTACACACATTTCCTTCAAATATAGTTTTCTCTAAAACAGTGTTTCTCAACCTTGGCAACTTTAAGATGTATGGACTTCAACTAACAGAATTCCCCAGCCAAGGAACTGAAGTCCACACATCTTAAAGTTGTCAAGGTTGAGAAACACTGCTCTAAAATAATGCATTATACCTGCACTCCTGTAGTCAATAGGGAGATATCCTAGCGGCCATTTTGGACCTCTGCCTGCAAAAGCAGACTGAGAAAACTTCTCTTGGATATGATCTTTGCCTCTTTGCCACTGAAATTACAAATAGTAGAAACAAAGAAGGGGCAGATCAGAGAGCACTCTGTGTATGTTGCTGGAAAATCCACAGTTCTTTATGCCTCTGACATGCCCAGAAGTGGTGGAAAAAACTGTGTCAGCAAGGTCCGTTTTGCACCTATTGACATAAATATGAGGGCAAAAGACAGCAGAACAGGGTTTCCCGCCTCCCCGCTTTTACTCTTATTAGTGCAAGCCCAGCAGGGCTTTGAGCTTTCTGAAGGCTCCAAATGTCAAAATTCCTTACCCATCACAGAACTGAGGGTACAAGGTGATGTACATAAGCAGTTTATTTAGCTTTTGAGGCATTCAGAATGTGAGGTAATGGAATTCTACCAGTCTGCAACATCACGATGATTTAGTTAATCAAGGAAATTGGCAAGATTCATATATAACAAAGGACTTACATAATAAAAATATAATGTAATATAAGAATACTAGTAACTGCAACATCCAGCCACATCAAGTGCCAGCTATATAGCTGACTAGTATTCAGCCTTGACAGCACAGCAGAGAACAGCCAGCTGAGATCGCTAATCCATTGCAGTTACCTTGAGATAATGATT